CCAACCTGGAGATCAAGAGTCACATGCTCCAGTGACTGAACCAGCCAGGTGCCCCTCCATGATTGTTTTTAATAATACATGTGAAAATTTCACTTTGGATTGCTTTAGTTTCTTTGACTTGCTTAAAATGTCCTAACCCATGTAGACTGGATAAAATTCTGGCAGGAAGGATAGTAATTCATAAAAAATAAATATAAGCTCCTAATAGCCAAAGCTGGAAAATTAGTCAATTGTGTCTACATAAGATGTAGGACAAACTCATCATCTTTGATGTATATCTGTATATATGGTTATGCACAAGAAATGAGGGCCTTATCTCCAGGATGTCACTCAACATCTTCATATTTACCAGAGAGCACCCTACATATTGTTACTGAAAGAGACACATCAACTAGGTATAGGGCTCCTTGCATGGAAGAAAGGAAAAGTTGGGATGCCCCAAGCCACTGACAAATAACCAAACAGTATTTGGGTTAACTGACTGGCAGTTTTTTTGGTCTGCAGGAATCATCAACAGCACCTTACAAAATGCAGCCCAGTGAGTAGCATCTCTTTCTTGGGTTTGGGTTTGTTTCTCAGGTGGGAGACAGAGGCTTTCCAGCTCGCCTGTGGCTCAAGGATGCTGGATTTTCTCAGAAAACGTTCTCTTGTAGGCACAGCTGCGTTGTAGCACTCCAAATGCTTTGGACCATGGCAACAGGAAGAAAGATGCAATATGTAGCTCATCCACAAATAAAGAAAATGTGAGTGGTAAACAGAAACCTAGATACATTAGCACTTTTTTTCCTGTGAGGGCAACTCATCAGTATCATTATGAGACCTAGAACCCTTATGCCTCAGTGTGCAGACAAGCAAACTGCATCACTATAGGCAAAAATTCTTTTTTTTAAGATTTTATTTATTTATTAGAGAGAGAGAGAATGAACAGGGGGGAAGGACAGAGGGGGAGGGAGAAGCAGACTCCCCACTGAGCAGGGAGCCCTATGACCTGAGCTGAAGGCAGAGGCTTAACCAACTGAGCCACACAGGCGCCCCTAGGCAAAAAATTCTTTATGGTTTGTTTTTTTTCTTTAAGGTTTGACCCTAGAACAGAAACCTAGCTCCAAGTCTTCCACTGCAGGTCGTCATTATTACCCATGTTCAGTTGATTCGTTTAAGGACAAAAAATTTGTTACTGTAGTTTGGGAATTTAGAACTATTTTTTTTTTTAAACAGATAAAAGTAATGTACATAAGTTGTTAACATACTCTTTGCATGGCTTCATGTATGGCTCTACTTTATTTCTTATTTCTCCCTTAGTCCAGCTTCTTAGAATTCTGAGAAAGCCATGGGCCTTTTTCTCTGAGCCTCAGGCCCTCCATCAGTTTTTTGTTTTTTGGTTTTTTTTAAAGTATTTTAGAGAGAGAAAGAGAAAGGGTGGGGAAGGGGCAGAGGGAAAGGGAGAGAATCCCCAAGCAGACTCCCTGCTGAGTGCAGAGCCTGAGGCAGGGCTCAGTCCCACGACCTTGAGATCCTCCTGACCTGAGCCGAAACCAAGAGTCATATGCTTATGGACTGAGCCACCCAGGCGCCCCCCTCCATCAGTTCTAAGTTGAACTGGGCTCCTTAGAGCCACCTAATCACTAAGATAATTATCTAAATAATCCCTTCAACTAATTCTCTTTTCTAGCCATCTTTTTCTATTTCCTGCCTCCCTTCCTTTCCCCCAGGTCAGTGTTTATAAAAGATAGCTCCTGTTCTTTTCTCACACTAAGTTATACCCATGTTTTTGGCTGTTCTAATCAGCTTTCTTGATTTGATACTGTCCTTCTGATAACTTCTTTTTTTCCTTCTGATAACTTTTTAAAAATCTCACCATCCCCTCCCCACTCAGGCTCCCCTCTTCCTCCCTTCCTTTACTTGTGATTGTAAAATTAGTATCCTCCAAAGCAAATCTACATATCATACGTCAAATTCAAACCATAATTTGTATCAGGATATAGGATCAACCTTGATTACACTTAATGTGTTTTGTGAGGGTTATTCATGGCTTCATCTGATGAAATGTGTTTGGCAGGGCTTGCTGATGCTTGTCTTCCTCCAGCCAATGTAGTTTCTCTTATGCAGGAGAACAACACTTTGAAGTCCTTGGAGTGGTGGGTACCCAGGACCCTGAAGTTTCGAAAGAGACCAGGGGGGCCTTACATGTCTCCCCTTTCTCTACTGGTGAGTCACCAAACATCCTCATCAAGGGTCTGCTGAGGCATTGTGGATTATAGGGTGGCAGATCTGCATTTACAACCCTTTGAATTTTTCTAAGCAGGCTTGGGTGAGAAAAGGGGTTGGAGAAGTAACTCCAGAAAAGGGAGGAGACACGTCCCCTGATCTTTTTATTTGTTTAAATTTAAGGAGGAAAAAAAAATCTTAGGCATTTAAAATTTTTCTGTTTTAATCTTTATTCTTTCTGTGTCTCCTCCCAATTTTTAAAAGTACTATGTGCCCATTGTGAAAATGGTTTTAAAATATAGGAATATAGGAATATAAAAAAGGAGATAGCTACCTCATAGAGGGAAAACTGCTATTAACATTTTACCTCATTTCTTAACAATCTACTTCCCTATTTTTGGACACTTAGTGGCACCCAGATTTTGCTTTTACAAATAATGCTATTATGTAATTCTTGAGCATCAATCTTTACCTATATTTCAAAATATTTTCTTTAGGATTAGTACCAAGAATTATAATTACGAGGTTAAAGTGTATATTTTTAAGATTTTTGTTACATATAGTGAGATTCCTTTCCAAAAATGTTGTAGGAATTTACATATTCATGATCAATCTATAGGTCTTTGGATAAATGTTACTATTTTTTTAACTGCTAATTAGATTGGTAAATGTTTTATTTTATGTTAAAAACAATTAGTAGTGATTTCATGTGAATATTAGCCATATATATTTTACCTAGTAAATGACTGTGTCTTTTGTCCATTTAGCTACTGGAGTCTTAAGTTACCCAGGCACTCACTTGCTTTTAATAGACAGTGGATTCATGATAACTCCAGGGATTTAGGGTCTAATCTCAATCCTAGGGAAAAGTCATTTCTATCTCAATCCTAGGGAAAAGTCATTTTAACATAGCCCATCATAAGTAGATTAGGTTGACCATGTTTCAGATTTTTGATTTCTTGGAGAAAAGGAAGACTTGGAGCATGGTAAATTACTGAATAGTTTCCTGTGTGTATATGTGTGTGTGTGTGTGTCTTTTAATGTGGTAAAGTATACATAACATAAAATTTGCCATTTTAACCATTTTTAAGTGTACAACCCAGAGGCATTAAATACATTCACAATGTTGTGCAACCATCACCACTATTCATTTCCGTTTTCTTTTCATCATTTAGAACAGAAGCCCTCTACCCATTAAAAAATAACTCCCCCATTCCTCCCTCCCTCCAGCTCCTGGTAACATCTAGTCTGTTTTCTGTCTCTATGAATTTGACTTTTGGACACTTAGTGGTATAACGTTCTGTTTATCCATTAATTTGTTGATGGACATTTGGATTGTTTCCACCTCTTCCCATTGCAAATAATGTTACCATGAATATTGGTATACAAATATCTGTTCGAATCCTTGCTTTCAATTCTTTGGAGTATATACCCAGAAATGGAATTGGTGGATTATAAGATAATGCTATATTTAATTTGAGGGGGAACCACTATACTGTTATCCATATCAGCTGCACCATTTTTATTTTTATTTTTTTTAAGATTATTTATTTACTTATTTGTCAGAAACAGAGAGAGAGCACAAGTAGGGGTGGCGTCAGGCAGAGGGAGAAGCAAGCTCCCTGCTGAGCAAGGAGCCCAATGCAGGACTTGATCCCAGGACCCTGGGATCATGACCTGAGCTGAAGGCAGACGCTTAACTGACTGAGCCACCCAGACTTCCCTCTGCTGCACCATTTTTAAATCTTTTGTTTTTTTGGTATTACACTGTATGAGTGTTTTATGTATTCTGGGTATTAATCCCTCATCAGGTATATGACTTGCCAATATTTTCTCCCATTTTGTACATTGTCTTTTTACTTTCTTGGTGGTATTTTTTGGTGCACAGTTTTTAATTTTGGTAAGTCCAATTTGTCCATTTTTTTCTTCTGTTGCCCATGCTTTTGTGTATTATTAATGAGATCATTGCCAAATCCAATATTATGAACTTTTTCCACTGTTCTCTTCTAAGAGTTTTACAGGTTTAGCTTTTATGTTTAGGTCTTTGATTCATTTTGAATTAATTTTTGTATATGGAAGGTAAGGGGTCCTGAATAGTTATTAATATTGTCCATATAATTGACAGGACAATGGAAACTTTTTGGAAAGTGAAATGAAGTATCTGGGCAGCCCCATTACTACACTTCCAAAATTGGATAAAAATCCAGAACTAGAAGATCAAACAGAGGAAATTTCCAATGAATTGATGGAGTTTTCCCTGGAAGATCAGGAAGAGCCCAAGGTAAGGTACTGTCTGATATCTTTGCATTTCCCATATTCCTTCATTCTTGAATAAATAATATTGTGCATCTCCTGGGTTTTAGCCACTGGGCTAAGTGGTAGGTCTACAGAGATCAAGAAGACATGGTTTCTATACTATCCAAGGGCTACCTGACTGATAGGGTATCTGGTAACCATGGAATTCTTACTACTGCTGGGTGAGAAGGTTCCAGTTAGTAGTTTGAGGACATCACTATCAATGTAATTCAGTATAAGTTATGCCCCCAGAGTAATAGTAATGGATGGAACATACCTAGCGTGATTTTTCAGCTATTTTACATTATATCCTCCCTGTGTCCCTGGGAGGCATACCTGAAGCCTGTGGCTTATTAGCCATGTACTGATATGCCAAAGAGAGATTCTGAGGTTTTTGGCATTTCCGAATCAACTTCATTTCTTTGAAACAAATATGTGTAGGAGTGTGTTTTTTAAATTTATTGATTAAACAGGCAAATGTGATATAGTTGAGCCCTTGGATTCTAGTCCTTATTCTCTTATTTAGTGTTATGAGCATGAGAAAGACACTTAACCAGTATAAAACTCATTTCTCATTTATAAAACAGAGCATAATAATGAGAAATACTTCCTCAGTAGGATTTTTGTGAATATGATTAAGTATTAAATGCAGTTTATAGTATTCCACATACTTTATTATTGTTAATAAAAACAAATGTAAGCTGTAACAACATTTGGTAAATATTTGTTGAGACTGGTGGCGCCTGGGTGGCTCAGTCGTTAAGCGACTGCCTTCGGCTCAGGGCATGATCCAAGGGTCCTGGGATCGAGCCCCGCATCGGGCTCCCTGCTCTGCGGGAAGCCTGCTTCTCCCCCTCCCACTCCCCCTGCTTGTGTTCTCTCTCTCGCTGTGTATCTCTCTCTGTCAAATAAATAAAATCTTTAAAAAAAAAAAAAATATTTGTTGAGACTGATATGCGCCAGGTGCTATACCAGAACTGAGGCCAGAGTTGTGATTAAGATGGACAAGATTCCTAACTTTCATGGAGCTCGTATTTATATTTTTTCTAGTCTAGAAGATAGACCATGTAAGTAAGCAAACCAATACCCAAGATAATGACAGATTGTCAAAAGTGCTATGGATGACAGAGTGGTATGAAAAACGACCTAGAAGTTTAGTAGGGTGCTGCTTTTAACTTTAACTTGAGTAACTGGAGCAGTGCTGACATTACAATGAATTTCAAAAGGAGTAATTCAAAGGGAATAAGTTTTCTTTTGGATATTTGAGTTAGAGGCGTTAACAGGAAATTTAAGTGGAAATCCTGAATGAGGAGTGGAGCCATCAGGACTGGAAATGTACATTTTGGGACCATCTGCGTAGAAGAGAAAATGAAGGCTCCAAGGCAGAGAGTAAGAGCTTGTAGAGAAGGAGTGATAGCCTGTGAGGAGACTGATAATGAAGTAGATAGACTCGGAATGACATCATTCAGGAATCAGAAAGGAGAGAGCTAGGACATGAACAGAGGGGTCAGTTTTATATATTTATTAATTTTATAAGTTTAATATATTTATTAATTTTATAAATTTATTAATTTATAAATAAATTTATTAATTTATAAATTTTATATATTTATTAATTTGTATAATTAATTTATTAATATTATAATATATATTTATTGATTTTATATATAAATTAATTTTTATTCTTTATTGTGGTAAAATACAATATACATAAAATTTACCATTTTAACCATTTTTAAAAGTGTATGGTTCAGTGGCATCAAATCAAGATCATGTTGTTATGATTGTGCTTATCCATCTCTAGAACTTTTTCGTCACCCCAAACAAACTCTTTGAAGAGTTTTATAGTTTTAGCTCTTAAATTTGGGTTTTGAGTTAACTTTGAGTTAATTTTTCTGTGTGGTTTTAGGTAAGGGTCCAGTTTCATTCTTTTGCATGTGAATATTCATTTATCCCAGCACCATTTGTTCAAAAGACTGTCTTTTCCTCATTGACTGGTCTTGGCATCCTTATCAAAAATCATTCGACCACCTGGGTAGTTCAGTTGGTTAAGTGTTGGACTCTTGATCGCAGCTCAGGTCTTGATCTTAGGGTCGTGAGTTCAAGCCCCATGTTGGACTCTGTGCAGGGCGTGGAGCCTACTTAAAAAAAAAATCACTTGACCATGTACATGAGAATTTATTTCTGGGCTCTATTCTATTCCATGGGTCTGTATGTCTGTCTTTATATCAGTACTATAGTTTTGATTACTATACCTTTGTAGTAAGTCATTTTATACATTTTTTTTCACAAATCATACTTGAATATATTTTCCTTGAAAAAATATTAAATCGTAACAGCTAAGGCTAACCCTGTCTGATCACCATTCCTAGCCCCTATTGAAGGGTGACTTTGAGATTATGTGGGATTACATGGAAAAGTCAAGAGCATGGGAGTCCATGGAACATATTGGTCTAGAAAGCAACAGATGGATCCAGACTTCTGTAACTTGGCTCTTTAACGGTATGGGTAAAGTCCTATGATTTCCCTATGCTTCACTTTCTTTCTTTCTTTTTATTTTTTTTAAGATTTTATTTATTTATTTGTCAGAGAGAGTGAGAGAGCGCACAAGCAGGGGGAGTGGCAGGCAGAGGGAGAAGCAGGCTCCCTGCTGAGCAAGGAGCCCAGTGCCTTACTCAATCCCAGGACCCTGGGATCATGACCTGAGAGGAAGGCAGATGCTTAACTGACTGAGCCACCCAGGCGTCCCACATCACTTTGTTAATCTACAAAAAAGAAAAGGTTTTGATAACTATTTCATAAGGTTGTTGTGATGATTAAATGAGTTAATTGTACATAAGCATTTAGAACAATACTTGCCAATTACTAATGCTTTATTATTATAATGTAGTGTAGTATAAGTTCTTAATTACTGTAGTATAAGGACCAAAATGTGTGGCGTTACAAAGACTGGTAGAGAAGGGATGCTTGATGGCTTTGATGTCCTTAGCAAAGTGGAAGTTGCAGTAATCTGATGACTCAGAGGAGAGTGTTAGGTGACAGTCTTGAAGAGTTTGGAGAAGGTTATAATCAACTTTTGGAAACCACAGAGGAAATTATTAAAAGGCTAATAAAATAACATTCGTAAGGTTTTATGTGATAGATCTGCATGGCATAGTGTGCTATTGTCTAGAAGCAAGATTGGAAACTTTGGAACTCCAGGGATGATTAAGTGAGGGTTGGAGGTTGCCACTGGCAGATGAAAAAGTCGTATGGGGTTGAGTTAGCATAGGTGATGGTGAGAGTAGCAGAGAGTGGGACGCCTGGGTGGCTCAGTCGGTTAAGCGGCTGCCTTCGGCTCAGGACGTGATCCCAGGGTCCTGGAATCGAGTCCCGCATTGGGCTCCTTGTTCTGCGGAGAGCCTGCTTCTCCCTCTCCCTCTGCTGCTCCCCCTGCTTGTGCTCTCTCTCTCTGACAAATAAATAAACAAAATCTTAAAAAAAAAGAAAGTAGCCGAAAAGTAGATGATGATGAATCAAAGCCTGGATAAGGAGCCCAATGTCTCACTGGGTAGACTCGGTAAAGTGAGAACAGCAATATGGTTGAAAGTTGCCGAGGAGGAAGTATCTGGTTTAGAAATTTTGGAGAGCTAGGGGTAATTGTAGTTTGAGGATGTGCCAAGTTTGAATTCTTGGTGGTAGAGTAATAGAGGAGGGTTGCAGATTTTTTTCTCACTGCAGAGAGACACAGTGAGAGAGGGAACACAAGCAGGGGGAGTGGGAGAGGGAAAGCAGGCTTCCCGCGGAGCAGGGAGCCCGATGCGGGGCTCGATCCCAGGACCCTTGGATCATGACCTGAGCTGAAGGCAGATGCTTAACGACTGAGCCACCCAGTCGCCCAGATTTTTTATTTTTTCTTTCTTTCTTTTGTCCCTGCTTATTGAGAGGCTAATGTGGAGTGCAGGAGAAGCTTAGTGCAAGTATTTGAGAAGTTATGAAGTCCCTCTCTGAAGGGTTTTCAGTTTTCAGAACATGGTATGAGTGTGGGGAAAGAAGTAGTCTGGGTTTTAGTGTTTTGAGTAGTGTCTTGGGAGACAAGAGTGGAAAAGAAAAATGAGAGGCAGGTAATAATCGGTTTCGCTTATTGACTACTTGTACTGGGCACTGTGTGCTGAGCTATTTATATCCATCATCGCATTTAATTTTTATGTCAATCCTGAAATAGGAGTATGATGCCCTTTTATTTTCTTCTCTCCCCTTTTTTTCTTTAGTATTATCCCCTTTTAGGAGGAGAACATCAGACCATGGGTTAAAGGCTCTTACTCAAGGTCACAAAGTTAGCCATTGGCAGAGTCAGGATTTAAGCTGAGATCTGCCTGACTCCTGAGCTGGTGTTTTTAGCAGTATCATGGTGTCTTTTTTTTAAAGATTTTATTTATTTGTTTGACAGAGAGACAGCGAGAGAGGGAACCACAAGTAGGGGGAGTGGGAGAGGGAGAAGCAGGCTTCCCGCAGAGCAGGGAGCCCAATGCGGGGCTCGATCCCAGGACTCTGGGATCATGACCTGGGCCGAAGGCAGCGGCTTAGCCAACTGAACCACCCAGGCGCCCCATTATCATGGTGTCTTTTGCTGAATATGCTTGGGAGGTAAAAATTGTCCCAGGAACATGTAATAATGACATTTGCTTTTTTTTTTTTTTTAATATTTTATTTATTTGTTAGAGAGAGAGAAAGAGGGAGCAAGCAGGGGGAGGGGCAGAGGGAGAGGGAGAGAGAATCCCAAGCAGACTCTGCACCGAGCTTAGAGCCTGACAAGGGCTCAATCCCAGAACCCCAAGATCATGACCTGAGCCAAAATCAAGAGTTGGATACTTAACTGACTGAGCCACCCAGGCGTCCCAACATTTGCTTTTTGTGTAGGTTTGGTAAGGTTGAATACCCAGAGTTTGAATGGATTGAAGTGTTAGGAAGGATGGTAAATATGTGATCTAGAACACGGCTATTATGTAAAACTTTCTGAGATGGTGGAAATGCTTTATATCTGTCCAATACAGTAACCACTACATGGCTTTTGAGCACTTAACATGTGGCTAGTGCCACTGAGAAGCTGAAGTTTTAATTTTTTTGAGTTTTAACTAATGCAGATAACCATGTGTCATTGGTTTTACTATAATGGGTAGTCAGATCTAGAACCCTCTATAAAGTATGGTCCCTGGAGCAGCACCATCATTATCAGGTAGGAATTTCTCAGCAGTGCAAATTTCTGGGCCGCATCCCAGACCTTCTGAATCAGAACTGTGAGGGCGGGACCCACCAGTCTGTTTTAACAACCCCTCCAAGTGATTTTGATGCACCCTGCTATATAATGCAATATTAAATCCTATTTTAATGTCATTGGTTTGTGGGAAAAAAGAGAACCAAGATATAATCTGAAAGAGACAAGACGGGTATTGGGAGAATTGACAGTGACCTTCCTGAGACAAACATTTTTGAGGACTCGCTGATAATGGAGGGTAGATCTGTGGAAAAACAGCAAGTTTAGGGATAGTTAGCATGGGGAAAGGTTGCTAGGCCTTCTGCAGGAAAAAAAAAAGCATTGTAAAGTGAACATTCAGCGGTGCTCTTAAAAATATATGTTAGTCTTCATATTTCTAAAATGTAGCTGATACAGTTAAGTCTCAACTAGTATTAACTAGTAATTAAATTTAATGTTGATTAAAAAGAAAGATTTTTGTTTTCAATTTTATTGTTGAGAATTTATCTAATGTGTTTAATATCTTTTATGAAACAATAAGTACAGTACAGAGGACCTGATTGAATCTTTCCTTAGTGAAGATCTTTCATCATCTTAGAAACATCATTCTGAGTTGCATGATATAGACAGTATAGAAGAGTAGGTTTAAAATAGACTGACCCCATGGGTGCCTGGGTGGCTCAGTTGGTTAAGCGACTGCCTTCAGCTCAGGTCATGATCCCGGGGTCCTGGGATCGAGTCCCGCATCGGGCTC